AAATCTCACATGCTGAAGGGATGCTCAGGCTCATGTCTGTGCTTTCCATGTTACACATCCAGACATCTGATGCCTTCTTAAAGATGCCATCTTTTAGGGCCTCCGCAAACTCTAATAGGCCAATCTCTCTGGTCTCTTTGGTCCTTGGCTCCTTGTGAAAAAAGCACTGAGATTACTTTATCCATTTGTCGCACACCAGAAACTTTTAAAAAGAAATCCTAACCACTTTCTGCATCAGTTTCATCCCTTTTCACCACAACCTTAGCACACATGACATTGTTGGGACTGCTCTGATCTGAGCTCAGAACAAGAGCGAACATCTCAAGGAAAACTTAACACAAAGCAATGACATAAGTAGGGGTCAGTTGGTGAGGGAGGTTTCTGATCCCGCAGGAAAGGGAGGGCTACAGCAGTACCCAAAATCCAGAACTGGCATTGAGAGCTACCAAAGCTGCTTGGTGCTTTTAACTTGCAGAGCTAAGCGAGCCGGTTAACTACCGGGAAAGAACCTATCTCTTGTTCATTGCTATTACACAGAGGATACTATATGGATGTACATTTGGAGATCAGTAAGGACGTAATCTGGTCATGCCAAACTAAGGATCGCTTGACTGTTGTGGAGTGGGGGCACCCCTCAGCTGCATTGCTGGAGAATTCCATGTAAGCTTTTAGAAGTACTTGATCTTGTCTGTGCCCTCTTCAAACCTCACCGCTGGGGGAGCATTCAAGCAGAGCATTGCCCTTTCCTCTTGGCTTGACATGGTTGTACAGTGGTACCTTGGTACTCAAACGACTTGGCTCCCAAACAAATCAGCTCCTGAACACCGCAAACTCGGAAGTGAGCGTTGAGGTTTGTGAACGTTTTTCAGAAGCCGAATGTCCAACACAGCTTCCGCGGCTTCCACTTGAGTGCAGGAAGCTCCTGCAGCCAATCAGAAGCCGTGCCTTGGTTTCCAAGTGGTTTCGGGAGTCGAACCGACTCCCGGAACGGATTAAGTTTGAGAACCAAGTTACCACTGTACTTCGAAACAAGCAGTCTGGATGCAATCTTCCCTTGGCTTAACGGATTCTGTCGCATCTTAGTTGATCTTTGGATCCTTGCCCTTATACACTACTGACTGCTTCTGTCTCCCTTTGGGTTGCAGTCTCTGCTCTGTGTTGTTCTGTGTTCCTGTCCTATTGGAGGGAGGAACCAAACTCTTTTTCTCAACTGCTTCTGTAGCCGGGAGCAAGTTCCGATAGGTGACTGCTGAACACTCTGCGGCTATTAGCCAGGCAGGGAGACAGGTTGTCTGAGCACTGTCTCCCGTTGGGCTTCTTGTTCAGTGATGGCAGCTGTTCTCTGAAAACTCTTGGATCTGTCACGAACACAGCCAGGAGTCTCTTCTCTGCCTGGCCGAGCCCACCAGTTCCAACTGGCATTTTAAGCAGCTCTGGCAAACTGGGAGATACTGTGACATGTCACAGCACCCTTGAGTAAAGCTCTGTGTTGTACCTGGGCAAGATCAGGGTCCCTCTGTTTATGTGTTGGAGTGAGGAGGTTAGGTGAAAACACAAAATCGCCATGCCACATATCCTCCTCTGTTTCTAAACAAAAATTTAGAGAGAACTAGAGGAGTTGCAGGCAAATAGGGGGTGGTTGAATGGCCGCAAGAGCCGTACAAGTGTAATTTAGTTGTCACAGGTAAACCTTGGTATCCGTGTCCAGTGCTTAGTTCTAGACTCGCAAGCCTTGTTAAATTGCACAAATCCATCGTTCACACCTTGATTTTTCACAGTTAATGTTTTCTTTCCCACTTCCTCCACCCCCCAAAAAACCTCCAACAGCCCAGCTCTGTTCTGTTGAAACGGCCCTCCCAGTTGGCTCTTTCCTAACCTCGCATTTCTGGCACGCAGGGCCTGCCCTGAACACCCTGAAACAGCTGCCCCACACATTCCAAGAGAGGCACACCACAACGCAGTGATGTGTTGGAGGATTCTGGAGCGCAGTTCCTTCGTGGGTGCGCATAGAAACATGGCAGCCACACCAGCTGCTTGGGTGTCTTGTGCGTTTGGTGGTTGCGGTGGCTGCAAGTGGCTCTGTGGGACATAAAGAGTGGCTACAAATTGTGTTCCACTCCTCACCCCGGCCAATCCTTCACTCATGGTTGTTTCTTTTAACCTGTGTTGTAGCAATTATCTTTCTGGGAATTCTTTCGGAAGTCTTAGTTGATCTGCCTGTGGCTTTTGGACAACCCGCACCTCACTACCAACGGCGGATGGGTAAGATGTGCCCTGACCTTTTTTTGCGCACACGACAATTCATTTGGGAGAAGTGGAGGGGTCCTGCCCATGGAAGAAGCTCGCAGGAAGCAGCTGTTTTCCTTTTTATTTTGTGGAGGGCGAGGCGACCTTCGTTTTTTCGTTTTTACCTTTTTGCACTATCTGCTGAACCGCGCCTGCCCTCCATTCTGCTCCCCCACTCCGTGGCAAAGTTATCAGGGCTGCTGCATCAGGACGTGATGCTGTTCTGGTACAGCGGACATGATCCAGTGCATGACTTCTGTGTTCTCCCTGTAATATGTGCCATGACTGATTGTGTGTAAACGTATTTGCAGAGGAAGTGGTGTCTTCGAGAGAAAGCAGTCTTAGAGGAAATGCGTCTTGCGTGTGTCTGTGCTCCCAAACTGGAAAAATGTCTCTTTAAATGCCAATCCTTTCAGGAGTGTCACCTCCTCAGAACTGTGTTCTGCAGGGCCAGAAAACCTGGATGACTGGGCATCAATTGCTGAGACTCTTCCTGCAGGAGGAGCCCTTGACATACATTGCTGATCACGAGCCAAGCTTTGAATTCCCACCAACGTCTGGCTCTTGGGTGTGCCAGACAACCAAAAGTGAGATGGGTACTCAGTCTGAATCAGCCTTTCCCAATCTCAGCTGGCTGGAGCTGATGGGGAATTATAGTACAAAACGTCAGGAGGGCACTAGCTTGGGGATAGCTGGTCTAAACTATTGATTTATTGGAAATCCATGTTGGGTATTAAAGCTTGGCTCTGTTCTGCAATGCTTTGGGAGACACCTATTGCCTCGCTGCCCTGTTAACCTTGCCACAGAAACAGGTTTAGGGTGGTGGAGTTGGGACTCTCTCATACTGGTTTATGCCCACTCATAGTAAGCCAGCCTCCGTCTTCTAGCAAATGTTTGTCTTGACTTTTGCTTTCTGATTCAAATGATGTAGCACAGTCCTCATTTTCCCATCATGTAGAATACTGCCTTAAACAGATCCGTTCAGTTGTGTATTATTTTATTATTATTGTTATGATTTACCAACAGGTTTATGCATTAATTTATTTTTGAAATGTGGTTTTTGGAAGACATGAAACATGTATAATATTTTTTTAACATTTCCATTGCAGTATTTATCATTGTTACTGGTTGTGTGTAGTGTAACAGAATTAATATTAAAAAAAAAGCATAGATATGAAACCTGCCTCTGCAGCTTCATTGGGTGTCTCTCAACCACTGTAGAAGAAGAGAAGAGGACGACTTTCTCCCTATAATTCCAAAAATCTGTCAGCAAATAATATAAAAACCTTTTGCTTGCTTTTGAGCCTAAAACATGATGCCCAATTGCCCTTCCACATCCCTTGCTGTCATTAGTGCGCAGCTTCTCCAGTACCTAACAGGTGTGTGACCTGCTCCTTTTAGCTCGTGCACCACTTTCTCAACTGCCCCGTTTCAGTCAAGTTCATTTTCTGCAGGACATACAACCTCCATATTGTTGGCAATAGGTAATATTTATTGCAATGTAGACAGACCTTGCACATCTGTTAACAGAAGCTGTACTGATCTTGAACATTCCATGACTAGCACCCTTCAGTAGTTAACCCCAGGAAACTTGTGAGCTTGAAGGGCTTGCATGCAACAGCCTAATTTTTAGCCTATGACAGACGTGCATTACAGACACACTTTTAACCCACCTCACAACACGGGTGTATGGTCTCTAAAGGAAGCTACATGGCAGAAGTTTCTCCAGGGGTGCTGTGTGGCGGAGCATTTGCAGGAACCTGTCCCTTCCACAAACAACCCCCCCCCACTCCATCCCATTGTACGCACCGCACAGAGAGACCAAAAATGGACTCACGAGGCTGGGGTTTCCTACTTCCTGGCAAGCCTTGCAGTTCCTAGCTGCACCTATTCCATTTGCAAAGCAGCTGGCCTGAGCAGATCTATGAAATCTAGTTAAGCTGTTGCCGCACTCTGTACAGGCCCAGTTCTTGAATCATGTCCAAAGCAGGCTTCTCTGTGCTTCCGATCCAGTCAATTGCGTCTTGTTTTTTCACGCACATATTTCTGTAAAAATATGCATCCGTGCCTCATAGCAGAGATGAGAGTAGAAATAGGGACTCTCCTCTTCTTCCTCCCTCCCCACCCCAGTTAGCGGTTTGATTTAAACCATTGACCCTCACTCTTAAGGGCTGGTTCAGAATATTCTTTAGCAGTGCTGTTATGTGAATATTCCAGCAGCGAGGGTCACTTGTGCGCCGATTCCACAGCAGGGAGCTAAAAACGTGCTTCGATCCGGATGTGGACTTCCAAGTGATGCTTAGTGTCATTGTGCAGATGAATTCAAATGGTGCATTAAAGAACTTCGGGGACTTCTCGGTCAGAAGATGAGTAATAGCTGACAAATTTCCCTACCAGAAAAATTGTTTGCTATTACTGATCATCTGTGATAGAAAGTGCAAGGGAGTGTGTTGTGCTCTATGCTTGCAGAATACACCCGGGTGTGTGGGTGTCTGTACTCCGTGACAGCTTAAGTATACACCATAGGATATGCTTCTACGCTTTGCAATGTAGCAGCTGCTCTCAAGAGGTTCCTTTGCAGACGACTTGATGTGCAAAGTTTTAAAAAAATATGCAAAAGCCCATTAGTCCCCACAAGAGGGAGCATTTTGCAAACTCACAGGCTCTGTGCTCTGGAGAGGAAGGGCTCTGCAGATCCTTCCTCAGGCAAGAGGACGCCACAGAGCGGCTTCCTCCCATCCATTACCTGCCACAGTCTTCTCCTTGACCTCACTTTTCTAGGTCTGCATGACCCAAGTGCTTTTGCATAGGAGAGATTCTGCTAGCATCTCATCTGCCTATCACTACAGTGACTTCAGAGCTTTAAAACAGTAATAAACAGGAGAGCTAGGAAGTAGATTGCTTGCTAGGAAGGGAGAGAGGATTTCCAAGGCAGGACTCCTCCAGTGGGAGAGGGGAGCTCCCTCCTCCCCCTGCTTCCAGGGGGCAGCAAGGCGCAGATTCCAAGCGAGCCAACCAGCACCCCTTGCCACAGAACCAGCCACTACTCCTACTCAAAGCCTTTGGCCCTTATCCCCATCATGCCTGCCTGGGCCTTCTCCCCCCACTTCTGCAGCACTGACCCTGCCAACTGTGACATCACACGTGATGCAAGAGGTTGGCTGCTGGGAGGGGCTATGACCCTCAAGAAAAGCCACTCACCAATTTTGCCCCACCGGCATGAAGAGCCCCTCTCCCCTTCTGACCACTCACGGCAGCAACAGCGGGGGGGAGATCCGTGAACTTGATGAAGTTGAGGCTCAAGACGTCCCTTCTGATGAAGTGTACCCCACCAGTTGTCCCAGTGACCGTTGTGGTGACTCCCAAGTTCTCCAAGATCTGCCAGTCCCTGAGTCAAGATGTTCCTCTTCGCCAACAAAACCAAGACCCCCATCAGCACCTACACGGACTCCTACAGGGCTCCGAATACCATGAAGAAGGCCTACGATGAGGCTCCGTTGGCCCTGTGGAGTGAAAACAAGTTCCTGACGCAGGTACGACGCTTGGCGGGTGGGGTTTGGTCTAAAGCAGCCTTTCTCAACCTGTGGGTCCCCAGATGTTGTTGGACTACAACTCCCATCACCCCTAGCTAGCAAGGCCAGAGCTCAGGGATGATGGGAGTTGTAGTCCAACAACATCTGGGGACCCACAGGTTGAGAACCGCTGGAAAGGAAAGGGGAGGAGGAGGCATGACAGAGGTGTGTAAAATTATGCATGGCACAAAGGAAACCGTCCGTCCCCCCTTGTAACGCAGCTCTCCAAGGAACGAGGGACACAGGTGGCTCTGTGGTCTAAACCACTGAGCCTCTTGGGCTTGCTGATCGGAAGGTCATTGGTTCGAATCCCCCTGACGGGGTGAGCTCCCGTTGCTCTGTCCCAGCTCCTGCCAACCTAGCAGTTTGAAAGCATGTCAGCGCAAGTAGATAAATAGGTACCACTATGATGGGAAAGTAAATGATGTTTCTATGCACTTTGGCTTCCATCACGGTGTCCCGTTGCGCCAGAAGCGGTTTAGTGCTGCTGGCCACATGACCCGGAAAGCTGTCTGTGGACGAACGCCAACTCCCTTGGCCTGAAAGCGAAATGAGCGCCACACCCCTTTGGCTGGGCTTAACTGTCCAGGGGTCCTTTACCTTACCCTTACCTCTCCAAGGAAGCTGAGTGTTGCAAGATCCCAAAGAGACAAAAGGGATTGTCACACAGTGCATGATTAAAAGTAGAGATGGCCACCAACTTGGTTGGCTTTGAAAGAGGATCGGACAAGTTCATGGCAGAGAGGGCTCTGTTGTTGGCTATTAGCAGGATACCTCTGAATACCAGTTGCTGGAAACTACAGAAGGAGAAAGTGCTCTTGTGCTCCCGCTCTGCTTGCGTGCTTCCCATTTGAGCCTCTGCTTGGCTGCTGGAAGAAAGGGCACTGGACCCGAAGTGGCACTGGCCTGATCCAGCAGGGCTCTTGGGTTAAACTCCCATGTGGCAATAGTGCCTCTGCACAAAGGGGGGCTAACAAGGCTTCCTGGCTGCAAGAGATTCAGGAGCCACACAGAGTTGCTGGGTCTCCCACCGTGTCCAGCCAGGTGCCCCAGGGAAATTTGTACAGCAGGTTCCTTACTTTTGTCCCTATTGAAATTCATTTTGTGAGTTTGAGGTTGCAGCTGGCAGTGGGGCGGTTAAGGGGATATAGACAGAGGCCTTGCGGGGGAAGGAGAGCTTTGAAGAGAGTTATGATGAGAAGGAAGGGAAATTGTGCATTAATAGGCTTTGAGAGGAGCAAGCTTCCCCCTGAGTTTTGGGACAAGGTGGGCTCCACACACAGCCTGAGCTTATGACAACAGGCATGAATAAGGCACTCATCATTAATTTTATTTGTATCCTGCTTTTCCACAAAAAGAATAGAGCTCAACATGGCTTAAGGGACACAGGTGGCGCTGTGGGTTAAACCACAGAGCCTAAGACTTGCCGATCAGAAGGTTGACGGTTCGAATCCCCATGATGGGGTGAGCTCCCGTTGCTCTGTCCCTGCTCCTGCCAACCTAGCAGTTCGAAAGCACGTCAAAGTGCAAGTACAGTGGTACCTCGGGTTAAATACTTAATTCGTTCCAGAGGTCCGTTCTTAACTAATGAGGCCTTCTGCTGCCGCTGTGCCGCCAGAGCACGATTTCTGTTCTCATCCTGAAGCGAAGTTCTTAACCTGAAGCGCTATTTCTGGGTTAGCGGAGTCTGTAACCTGAAGCGTATGTAACCCGAGGTACCACTGTAGATAAATAGGTACTGCTCCGGCAGGAAGGTAAACGGCGTTTCCGTGCGCTGCTCTGGTTCGCCAGAAGCGGCTTAGTCATGCTGGCCACATGACCCGGAAGCTGTACGCTGGCTCCCTCGGCCAATAAAGCGAGATGAGCGCCGCAACCCCAGAGTCGGCCACGACTGGACCTAATGGTCAGGGGTCCCTTAACCTTTACCAACATGGCTTATAACATAAATGCATCAACTACTGGAAAAAGAATTTCATAACAACGTAATAGCAAATATCACAACATTTCAGTACTATAAATGTATCAAGCTTGCATTATCAACGTTCTGTGGCTCCATGCCTCTTGGCAGTAGCAAAAATAGCAAGGGAGCTTGGCCATGAAGATTCTCAGAGCCCCTCTCCTGAAGCAGCCTCTTTTAACGTTTCCAAAGGAGTGGCTGGAAAAACTCATCCCATGATGTTGCTCCCATTGCGCATGCCAGCTTAGAGAGATCTGGCGGCTGGGGGCTTTTGCCGTTTGGCCTGGGGATCCCACTACAGCAAGTCTGGGAATGGGAGAGGGAGCTGGCTCCCCAGGAAAAGATGAAGATGGTCGTGTGAAAACGCCAAAACCTTCCTAGGTTTTGGTCTGTTGTTGGGAAAGCGGCACCCTCTGCTGCGTAGATGGCGCACAGGCAGTAAAAATTAAGTCAATCTCCGAGGCGAAGCTCACTCAGAAAAGTGGTTTCTGTCCAAGGCTCTGTCCCTAAGCTAGTTTCCCAGCCTGCATGCTGCCAAACCACCATCACCCCCAACTAGTGGTACACGATGCAGTGCTCTCCCCCCCCCCATGTTTGCTAGGTTTCCATCAAGCAACACCTGCCTTTCCACTAGTACTTATTTATTTATTTTGTTTAGTTATTACATTGATATTGCAGCTTTCTATATCATGCCAGAGCCCTACTCCCAGAGCCAGCACCCAGGAAGGCATGAGCCACGCCACCCTGCCCAGTTCCTCCCAGTTCCGCCGCTAGCCTCACTGGGGTGGTCCAGGCCAAGCAATCCTGCTCCAGCAACCGTGCGCTTGGCTTCAGTCTTGTTTACTAGGTCCTCCCAAACCCATTGCGCGTGTATTCTTCACTCGTAGATGCCTTGGGCAGTACAGTGGTACCTCGGGTTAAGTACTTAGTTCGTTCCGGAGGTCTGTACTTAACCTGAAACTGTTCTTAACCTGAAGCACCACTTTAGCTAATAGGGCCTGCTGCTGCTGCCGCGCCGCCAGAGCATGATTTCTGTTCTCATCCTGAAGCAAAGTTCTTAACCTGAAGCTCTATTTCTGAGTTAGCGGAGTCTGTAAGCTGAAGCGTATGTAACCTGAGGTGCCACTGTATTGCATGCAGTTATTTCACAACAACCCTGTAAGGTACGCCGTAGAATCACAGAACCAAAGAGTTGGAAGGGAATTGCAGGAGTTCCTTGTACTGGGCAGCCAACAAGCTAGATATTTTATATATATATATTTGTATATCCTCCCCTTTCTCCAATCTCGAGCCCAGGGCAGCATAGCATCAATCACAGGTGGGGAACCTCAGGACATCTTAGGCCTGATAGCGGTCCCAATTTGACATGCAGGGCTGTTTCCTTCCAGCTACACTCTCCTCCTTGCAGGTAAAGCCACCTGCTTCTTCCTTTGCAAGTCCAGCTTGAATTTTGCACTGTTTAAATCTTCTACCCAATGCCAGCTGCGCTGCCAGAGTCAGGCCCACTCAGGAGTTCCCAAATTCAGCTGACAGCAGCTGGAAGGAGCACAGCATGCATTAAGTCATAAACAAAGACCAAAGCCCTATAACTTGTCGGATAAGTATCAAATTCAAACCACACAATTAATTTAAAAACCATTAATGGCAACGACAACCCACATAACCGCAACCCCAGTGTGGTGCAGTAGTTAAAAGTTTCAGACTAGGACCCGAAAATATAAATGCAACTAACAAACTAGCCCCAAAGAGTGCAGCTTTCGTGACCCAAATGCCTCAAAAACTGCAACCATGCTGTGCTTAAAATAGCAACCATGGGGGCATTTTTCATAGTTGGTGTGAGTTGGCATTTGCTTATTTGCGAAGTTTATACGCTGCCTTTCATTTGTTAAGGGGTGCTGTGGGTTAAACCACAGAGCCTAGGACTTGCCGATCAGAAGGTTGGCGGTTTGAATCCCCGTGACGGGGTGAGCTCCCGTTGCTCGGTCCCTGCTCCTGCCAACCTAGCAGTTCGAAAGCACCTCAAAGTGCAAGTAGATAAATAGGTACCGCTCCGGCGGAAAGGTAAACGGCGTTTCCGTGTGCTGCTCTGGTTCACCAGAAGCGGTTTAGTCCTGCTGGCCACATGACTAGGAAGCTGTACGCCGGCTCCCTCGGCCAATAAAGCGAGATGAGCGCCGCAACCCCAGAGTCAGTCACGACTGGACCTAATGGTCAGGGGTCCCTTTACCTATTAAAAAAACAACAACCGTAAAACAACTCAAAACTCTACTCAGCCACAAGATGTTGCACAGAAACGTCATAAAACAAAGGCAGCCACGAAATTATGCAGCAGAAATAACATTTGCCTGTCCGCAATTTAGTTTATTGAATGCATTATGATGCCAAACAAGCCCAGGAAGATGGGGTGGACGAAGGGGCATACATTCATGTGGTTAAAGTTTGTACGTATTTCAAAACTGGGAGGGGGAAACTATGAATAGCAACTGCTCCGTGTAGCAGTTACTGGGAAGGATGGTGAGCTGACTCCCGTGCCTTGCAGACTTGGCCTTGAATCCAGCTCCCTGCTGCGGTTTTTAAACAAAACAAAACAAGCAGCACTCCTTATCTTCATCAGCAGATGTCCACAGACAAATAAGGCGGATGCGCTGAATTATCTTAGCTGCGGAACTTGTTCTTGTGACTGTGCGCTATATAGTCAGTTGACTCAATGCTGGGCAGGGTAAGGAAATAACTTCCACAGTGGTTTAAATTTTTAAGGAATGCTTTGACCTTAAAAGCACGCTCACGTCCTCCTCTCCAACCCCCCAAATTTGGGAAGCAGCGGTCTAGTAGGTTTTGCACCCAGCAGGTTTCCTGCCTAGAAATATAACAGCCCATACCAGTCCCAAAGCTGTGACTGAGAGCACAGGCAGGAGGCTATTAGGTCATTTTAGCAAGGCAACCAATTGACGCCCGCAATCCCACCTCCTCTGCAGGGCGGAAGTGGCTTTGCGAGGGTATCTTG